ACCAAAAAAAATTTTAACCAAATAAAAATTTGAACAAAAAAAATTTAACCAAAAAAAAATTAACCAAAAAAAATTTGACCAAAAAATTTGGACCAAAAAAATTTATACGCACGCATGCACGCACGCACGCACGCACGCATGCACGCACGCACGCACGCACGCACGCACGCACGCACGCACGCACGCACGCACGCCCGCACGCACGCTTACACAAAAATTTACACCAGAAAATTTGTAAAAAAATTTATAATAAAAATAAAAAAAATTTTTACTACAAAAAATTTTGACCAAAAAAAATTTTGATCAAAAAAGAAAATTTTGACCAAAACAAATTTTGACCAAAAAAAATTTTAACCAAAAAAAATTTTGACAAAAAAAATTGTGACAAAAAAAATTTGAAAAAAAAAAATTTTGCCCAAAAAAATTTTGACGCACGCACGCATGCACGCGCGCACGCACGCACGCACGCACGCACGCACGCACGCACGCACGCACGCACCAAAAAATTTGTAAAAAAATTTGGAATAAAAAAATTTAACCAAAAAAAAATTTGACCAAAAAAAACTGACCAAAAAATTTGGACCAAAAAATTTGGACCAAAAAATTTGGACCAAAAAAATTTACATCAAAAAATTTGTAAAAAAAATTAGAATAAAAAAAATGATCACAAAAATTATTATCAAAAAAAATTTTGACCAAAAAAAATTTTGACCAAAAAAAATTTTGATTAACAAAATTTGGACCAAAAAAAATTGTAACAAAAAAAAAAAAATTTTGATCAAAAAAGAAATTTTGAACAAAAAAAAATTTAACAAAAAAAAAATTTGAAAAAAAAACATTTTTACCAAAACAAAATTTGACCAAAAAAAAATTTGACCAAAAAAATTTTGACCAAAAAAATTTGGACAAAAAAAAATTTTTTCCAAAAGATTTTGGACCAAAAAAAATTTTGATCAAAAAAAATTTTAACAAAAAAAAAATTTACCAAAAAAAATTTTTATCAAAAAAGAAATTTTGACAAAAAAAATGGTGACAAAAAAAAATTTGAAAAAAAAAATTTTGCCCAAAAAAAATTTGGACGCACGCACGCACGCACGCAGGCACGCACGCATGCACGCACGCACGCATGCACGCACCACGCACGCACGCACGCACGCGTACACAAAAATTTACACCAAAAAATTTGTAAAAAAAATTTGGAATAAAAAAAATTATCAAAAAAAATTTTTACTACAAAAAATTTTGACCAAAAAAAATTTTTACCAAAAAAAATTTTGACCAAAAAAATTTGGACAAAAAAAATTTGGAAAAAAAAAATTTTTATCAAAAGATTTTGAGCAAAAAAAATTTTGATCAAAAAAAATTTTGATCAAAAAAATTTTGACCAAAAAAAATTTTGACCAAATAAAAATTTGACCAAAAAAAATTGACAAAAAAAATTGAAAAAAAAATTTGAAAAAAAAAATTTGGACAAATAAAATTTTGACTAAAAAAATTTGGACCAAAAAAATTTGGACCAAAAAAAATTTGGAATAAAAGAAATTTTGACCAAAAAAATTTAACCAAAAAAAAATTAACCAAAAAAAATTTAACCAAAAAAAACTTTGACCAAAAAATTTGGACCAAAAAATTTGGACCAAAAAAATTTATACGCACGCATGCACGCACGCACGCAGGCACGCACGCATGCACGCACGCACGCACGCACCACGCACGCGCGCCCGCGTACACAAAAATTTACACCAAAAAATTTGTAAAAAAAATTTGGAATAAAAAAAATGACCAAAAAAATTTTTACTACAAAAAATTTTGACCAAAAAAAATTTTTACCAAAAAAAAATTTTGATCAAAAAAGAAATTTTGACCAAAAAAAATTTTGACCAAAAAAAATTTTAACCAAAAAAAAAATTTTTACCAAAACAAAATTTGACCAAAAAAAAATTTGACCAAAAAAATTTTTACCAAAAAAATTTTTACCAAAAAAATTTTTACCAAAAAAATTTGGACAAAAAAAAAATTTTTACCAAAAAAAATTTTAATCAAAAAAAATTTTGACCAAAAAAAAATTTGACCAAAAAAATGTGGACCAAAAAAATGTGGACCAAAAAAAATTTTGATCAAAAAAGAAAATTTTGACCAAAACAAATTTTGACCAAAAAAAATTTTAACCAAAAAAAATTTTGCAAAAAAATTTGAAAAAAAAAATATGGACGCACGCACGCACGCAAGCACGCACGCACGTACGCACGCACGCACGCACGCACGCTTACACAAAAATTTACACCAAAAAATTTGTAAAAAAATTTGGAATAAAAAAATTTAACCAAAAAAAAAATTGACCAAAAAAAACTTTGACCAAAAAATTTGGACCAAAAAAATTTACATCAAAAAATTTGTAAAAAAATAAGAATAAAAAAAATGATCAAAAAAATTTTTATCAAAAAAAAATTTTGACCAAAAAAATTTTGACCAAAAAAAATTTTGATTAAAAAAAATGTTGACCAACAAAATTTGGACCAAAAAAAATTGTAACCAAAAAAAAAAATTTGAAAAAAAAAATTTTGACCAAAACAAATTTTGACCAAAAAAAATTTTGATCAAAAAAAATTTGGATCACAAAAACTTGACCAAAAAAAATTTTACCAAATAAAAAATTGACAAAAAAAAAATTGAAAAAAAATGAAAAAAAAAAATTTGGACATAAAATTTTGACTAAAAAAATTTGGACTAAAAAAATTTGGACCAAAAAAAATTTGGAATAAAAGAAATTTTGACCAAAAAAATTTAACCAAAAAAAATTTAACCAAAAAAAAATTTGACCAAAAAATTTGGACCAAAAAAATTTATACGCACGCATGCACGCACGCACGCACGCACGCACGAACGCGCGCACGCACGAACGCACGCACGCACGCTCGCACGCACGCACTCACGCACGTACGCACGCACGCACGCTTACACAAAAATTTACACCAAAAAATTTGTAAAAAAATTGATAATAAAAAAAATAAAAAAAATGTTTACTACAAAAAATTTTGACCAAAAAAAATTTTAACCAAAAAAAATTTTGATCAAAAAAGAAAAATTTAACCGAAAAAAATTTTGACAAAAAAAATTGTGACAAAAAAAATTTGAAAAAAAAATTTTGACCAAAAAAATTTAACCAAAAAAAATTTAACCATAAAAAAATTTGACCAAAAAAAACTTTGACCAAAAAATTTGGACCAAAAAAATTTATACGCACGCTTGCACGCACGCACTCACGCACGCACGCACGCTTACACAAAAATTTACACCAAAAAATTTGTAAAAAAATTTGAAATAAAAAAAATGACCAAAAAAAATTTTTACTACAAAAAATTTTTACCAAAAAAAATTTTAACCAAAAAAAATTTTGATTAAAAAAAATTTTAACCTAAAAAAAAATTTTGACAAAAAAAATTGTGACTTCATTTAAAAGCTAATTTATTTACTAATTTAATGCACTACATATCATTAATATAAATATTTTCATATTACACTTGCAACAAAATAAAGTTAGCAATAATAGTGTTTAAAATAATGCATGACTCATTTTCAAACTATTGCAAGTGCAATATGGAGGATATTTATATTAACGTTATGTAGTGTATTAAATTATTAACTGAATTTGCTTTCAAATAAGGTGTCACACTTTATAATACGTAGTTTTGTTATCCCGATAGAGGGCGGTACAATTAAAAGTATCGCAATGAAACATAATATCTATAAATTCCCCATAAAATTACCTTTTTTATGATGTACTACACATTGTAGTGTCACACTCTATATTATGTAATTTTTTTTTCCGCTAGAGGGCGATAAAATTAAAGTAACGCAATGTACAGAAATATTTCTGAATTCCCCATTAAATTACCTTTTCAATAATGTGCCACACATGGTACATTACCTATTTAAAATTAAGGTGTTGGTGAAGTGCAAGGGAGGGGGTTGACACATGACAAAATTCAATGATTAATGCTGAAAAACAGGATGAAACTGTTTTGAGTGACCCACTCTGTATATCAAGAATTAATAAATTTATCGAATTAGTTAATAGAACAAAATCTGCTTTAAAATGCATTTTTTACAAGATGCGCTACAAAAGAAAGATCCTCCCATCGAAAAAAAATTATTGAGCGCAGCGCCATCTACATACTGACTTTTTTAAAATTAATTTATATCTAAAAATATAGCTCTCTTAGTGCTTTGTGAACTGGCTTTTGCAGAATTAAAATATCTCTATTACTTACCAAAATATCCGGCCTGGGAGTTTTTATTGGTACACCCTGTATAACTAAAGTCAATTTTGAAAATTTATATGAAATAAGTAAAATTGCTAAAAGTTTAAAACCAGTAGAAGAAGTAATAGACAATCCTTATAAAACTAAATCAATATCAATTATCATAATTATAATCTTATGCCTTGTCATTTATTTAATATGGAAAAGAAGAAAAGAAATACTACAATTGAAGATATGTCCTCATCGAAAAGAAGAAAGAAAATCTATAAATGAAGAAAATAAAGAAATAGAATTAGAAGTAAGAAGAAAAGAAGATAATCCAGAAACTTCGAAGAATCAGTCCCTGATCTTCTCAGCTTAGGAAGGGAGGAGTTATTTGTATAGAATTAGCATAGTAAATATTTTTTATCTCTAGCTTAGTCAGCATTTAAAAAGTTATAAATATGTGTTTATTTTAATAATTCTTCAGATATTCTTCATACTTGATTGTTGTAGTTTCGAATTAAAAAGTTTTTTTTTTAAAAACGGTTTTTCCTTTAAAAGAACCATAATTCCAGTCTTGTTTTTAATAGATATTGTGTCCTTTTACTTTTTATTATTGTTTTATTACCTAATATTTTTATTTGTTTTTGTCTAGCTCTATTATTTCTTATTATCGCATTTGGAAAGCAATAAAGGTTAAATAAATGTTGCTCGTTAGCTGTTTTTTAATTAGTACATCAAAAAATTTCACTGCATATCTATTATAATACACAAATAATACACACATTTAATTTTGTTCAAGCCATGTTGCAATTTGCAGGAGTTACGATTACATCGTACATTTTTTTGGGTAAAGTATGTATTAAATATAATTTAAGAAATATTAATTTGATGAGTTCTAGGAATCGTTCACAATGTATTTTTGCCAGCTGCAATCGTTGGGTTGGGAAACGCTACCTGTAGTTATAAAGTTATGGTAAGTTTCAAATTAATTTATATACCGCTTGTTGGTGGTTAAAAATAAAAAAAATGTTGCTGCCAGTTTAACCAACAAATTCACATTTTTGTACTACATGATTGAGAGGTGGGCCTGATTTTATCTTCCACAGTTCTCTGGAAACTTTTTCCATTAAAAATTTAGTAATGTAGGTCGCTTAAAGATATGTAAATAAAATATTTTTCATTGTAAAAAAAATGTAAATGTAAATTTTTTCATTAACTTTTTATGTTCAGGGTTCTATATACATAAAATATTTTCCACAGGAAATAAGAAAAATTACAGATAGATGTATTATTAATGAAAATAGCCATAGTGAAGACATATATCTGAACGACTACATCTCAAGTCCTTACCAGTTAGTACTTAAGAGGTGTTCATTAAAGCCTCAGTTAGATGAATGCCTTGAAAAAAGTATATCAGTATGTCAAGATTGTTTAAATTCCACACATCTCAAAGGAATTGATGTATGGAAACAAATAGATAATGAAGTTGCTGCATACATATGCGAAGATAATGCCCTAATTGCAAAAGGTAAGTGATATTTTAAGAAATCATTGTATTAATGAAGTCAAATTTAAAAACGACAAGAGATTTTGTTTACTAAATTAATTTATTCCCGCAGATCTACTCGAAAAAGGTGAAAGTAGCTGTTGGGGTAAAGGAATTTCTGTTTTAACAAACCAATGCCTGCTAAATTATAAAAATCCTCTTCCTTTATACGATATTGAAGGAATTGGTAAACAATGCAGGTTAGTATTATAGTTGATGTTTGTTAAAATAAATTACATAACTTTTCGGCTGGCACTTTTAGTCATGATTAACTAAATTTAACAATTGGCAACGTTATCGATGATCCTAAGTTTTCTGATGTTACGTGACATTGGACTTTAAGTCAAATGAAAATGTACACACTTTTTAGTTACATACAAATAACGGATAATTAAAATCTGCTTGACATAACATAAAACATCACATCTTACTACTCAGTTATTATTGTTGAACATTTATTTATTTCATTGTCGATCAATAATGAAACTATTATTTTGGGCGATGTCTACATTTCATCAGGGTTAAATCATAATGCTTATATTGATCATTGTTCTGCTGTTGAGCATACAGTGGAAAACAACCCTAACAATAAGTTATACTTTTTTGTGGACTATAATCTTCCACATGCTACATGGAATTATTCGTATGATGATGGTTTGTCTGTCTCTTGCCCTGCAGAATATCCAGCCATAATAATTAGTGAGAGTTTTTCCTACTTGACTGTAAAGAAGCGGATTATGTAGCTTTAAATAATTATCTTGCTCCAATTAATTGGGAGGGTATTTTAGTCAATAATGATATTAGTGTTAGTGTTGAAATTTTTTATCAGATTTTAAAATTAGCATTAGCTTTATTTGTACCTGTTAGGAGATATAAACCATCAGTATACCCTAGATGGTTTTCAGCTCATGCTGTATTTTTTGAAAAAATGTAAATTCACTCTTGTCAAACCACTACAGTTTTGATTTAATTCCTCTTTGAAATTACAACAGTTTCCTGCAAAATGGCGTGATAGTTTCATTACCCCTATATTTTAAAATGGTCAGAAAGATGACATAGTTAACTATCGCCCTGTAGTTTTACTCTCTGCAATACCTAAATTATTAGAATTATTGTTATATAAACTATTGTCATGGCACTGCAAAAACATTTTGATTGAACAACAACATGGGTTTATGGGAGGTAAGTCTACTAATACAAATTTTTATTTTTATACAATCTCTTCCCCTTCCAAAAATATCACCGCACGTCTCTGCTACATAGTTTGATTGTTTTCCAATATGTTCCGTTTTGTTAACGCCTGATAAAGGGCCCCGAGCCGAAATCGGCCGCCAATTTTGAATAAAAAAAACATTTTTATGTTACGGTACTGATTAAGTAACCGATTTAATTATTACATTATTTTATTTTAGCCAACTTGAAGATTTAGAATCATGTTTTGAAAAAAATGAACTACCTATTTGTTATCAAAATGTATTTAAGAAGACAACCAAAAAGATAATGGCAATAGTAAGATCTCATATGTGCAAAAATAATTAATTCAGGATACATTTTGAAATTATGTTAAGAGTTATATTTTTCAATATATTGTATATTTTACCTTTAGTTTGATTACAAAGTTTTATTTACAAACTATTCCTAATTCCTTATTGTTTTATTGCCCAAAAATTGCCCAATAATTAAAAAAATATATTTTGTATGGTCTTAAACCTCAAATATTACCAGATACGAAATTTATTGTAGCCTTAAAAGCCTGATTCAAAAAATGAACTCTGAACTATTAAAATCCTATTTATCAGAAAGGTATTTCAGAATTCACCTAAAAGAAATTAGGACAAGAGTACCTCAAGGTAGTGTACTAGATCCAGTATTCAGCTTGTTGTATATCAGAGATATTCTAATCTTGAGCCCAAACTATCGCAACATTTGCTGATGATACTGCAATCTTGGCTGTTGAAAAAAAATCACATAGATGCTATTAAAAAAAAAAAAATACAAAAATTTATATATCAGATTAACATTTGAACGAAAAAATGGCAAATAGAATTGAATTAAAGCAAATATGTCCATATTAACTACAGCAATAAACAAAATAAATATATTCCTATCAGGATAAATGAAAAGATTTCTTTTGCCAATACAGCATAATATTATTTTGGTTGCTGAGAAAGAATTCCAAATTATCCACATACAACAAACTGCTTCTTCATAAACAGATATTGAAACCCGTATAGACCTATGGTATCCAGCTTTGGGGCTGTTCCAGTAGAAGCAACATCCACGTTATTCAACGTTTCCAGATTAAAGTATTAAGGAACATAGTTGACGCACCCTGGTGCTGCCACAATACTGATCTTCATAGGGACTTTAAAGAAGAAAAATGGAAAAATTTGCCATAAGTCACCAATAATGACTGCTCCAACTTGGGAACGTTGAAGTTATCCAGCTCCTCAATAATCTAATAAGAAGACCAAAGAGAACCAAGCCTTTTGAGTTACTTCAGTGGTGTTATATAAAATAATCATTTTAAGTAACACCTCATCTCATCCTTTAGTATTAGTAAACATTAGTGTATTCAGTAAATTATTAATTCTAAAATCTGGAATTCCTAGATGGATATTGCAAACGTCTCATATGATACAGCTAAGTTAAACGGATTTTTCGAACGCTAGCACAGTGGCGTACGGATGTAATTTACACATTAGAGTTGTTTATAAAAATAATTTAATTTCTTGCAATTTAGTTACTGCCAAATCAAGAGTAGCACATATCAGAAAAGTAGTCACTGTTTCTAACCTGGAACTGTGTGAAATGCTTTTGTTATCCAATTTAATTCCAAAAATTTTAGAAATTTACAAAATAAAATAAAAATAACTTCAATTAACTTGTGGTCAGATTCGCAAAATTCTTTGCCTTGGTTAAACGGACATACCTCTTGATGGTCACTGTACGTCAGTAATAGAGTGTTTGAAATTCAAGAAGTGTCGTACAGCGCACAGTGACGCCATATTGAATCTGAGCAGAATCTTGCTCACTTTATTTCTAGGAGCATGTTTAGAGAAGACCTTTCTGATTTTTGGTTTATAGGGCTTGAATTAAAAAAAAAATACAAATTTTAATCTTTTTGATACATTTTAAATTACCACTTCTCCTTCTGAAGAGAAAAAAGTTTTTTTAATCACTAATATTGCCAAATCAAACTGGTTTTTCGGTTCAAATTTTCTCAAGGTTTTCAAGTTTTACCAAGCTATAACGCACAATAGCATATAGTGTTTCCAGACTCAATCCAATATAGGTGTTGTACCAGGATTGCGTAATAATTCGCGTTACATGCCATGCGAATGCTACAAATTCTATACTCTCACATTGCACCTACCTTAACAAATGTGATTTGGAAAATATTAATGACGTTTTTAAAGATCCGTCTTTAACAGACGTTTGGAAAATTTGCATTAATCACGTCCTAAAAATGAAAAAGAATATCATATTTTACCTTCTATAGCTCCAGTAGGTATATATCCAAACCTCGATTCCGCGACAGATGGTTCAGATTTAGATTTGAATTAATTTTCTTATTTTTCATTACTGGTAATCCGAGATTCATCAAATTAATTCATTAAATGGGACTAGGGGTAATCGTAAAAATGTAACACATGAGGTGTGTACTGTATTTAGCAAATAAACAAATAATAGTGTACTATTTACGGACGCTAGGGGTAAAAACAAGTAAAACTCTGTTACTTATTAAAAATATTAATTACCCATAAGTAATATACCCCACGAAGAGCTCTTAGTGACGTGTTTCGAGTTTAATAAAAATGTACGGTAAACTATACACCCCTAAACCTCGTTTACATTAGGTTTAGATAAAAATATGTACTAATAACCCCCCCAATAAAATAGATTAAATAGTAATATAAAAATAAGATAACAAAAACTTGCGGTACACGGTGACTTCTTTCCAGCTGCTCTAGTAGACGGTTGATGTCCTACTTCGGCATACAAATCAATCTGCCTGTCATAAAGGTTGCTAGCCCGTTACACGATTACTAGCTGATTACAAGGAGTACTAGCTGGTCACAAGATGTGCTATTCAGCCCGTCACAAGAATTGTTGACCTTCACAAGGACTACTGGCCCGTAATAAGAAGAATTGGCCCGTCACAAGAAGTGTTGGCTTTCACAAGAATTGATAGCCAGTCACAAGAACCCTAAAGAAAACGTGTAAGATAAAACAAATAACTATTTATCCCTGGTTAATAAAGAAGTTAAAATTAAATAACCAGTTACCTACATAGCCTTCTCGTGAAGCGAGGTCTAGAAATAGGTAGTAACTACATGTGAGTAATCGAGTCTTATCAAGAGTACCTTTTTTAAAGTAAATGAGTTGCGCAATCTAAATTTCATACTCAAACTCCTTTTTTTCCATTGGCGTAGAATTTTTAAAGGTGCAATTATTTAAAAAATCAAGTTCTACGCCTATGTATTATTATTGGACAAAATTTTAATACCATTTTTTTTGCCACATAAAACTCTACCAATATACCAAATTTCAGCAAAATCACATATGCCTTTTTAAATTTATATGGGAAAAACGATTTAAAAATAGTAACTGATTGCTTACTTATGGTTAAACTGATATCTCTAAATAGTACAGTCAATACACATACAAAATAAATCATGAGCGAAATTTCTAATAAAGATTTGCTCTCAAAATTAGAAGCACTTATGAACGAAAATACTATTCAAATAAGAAAAGACATAAAAAATTTAGATGATTCACTTAACAGAAAAATTCAAAATCTTGAAGAACGTTGTGAAGAAATTGAAAAAAGAATAACGTATATAGAGAGATCCAATAGACGTAACAATATTGTCATATTTGGGATTAATGGAACAAAAAATAACATACTAACAATAACGATCAACAAATTAAATCAAATTTTTAATAGTGGGCTGGAAGAACGCGACATAAATAATATATCATTAATTGGACAAAAAGGGACTGTTATACTAGAATTCGTATCATTCCTCCAAAAACAAAAAATAATAAAGGATTTAAAAAAGTTAAAGGGATCTGGTATATCAATAGCAAACGACTTGAGACCCAAAGATCAGGAAATTAATAAATTACTGATTGGACACCTAAAAAAAGCTAGGGTTAATCAGCAGAAAGCAGTAATAAAAAACTTTAAACTGTACATAAACGATACCCCACATACAGTTGAAGAATTGGAAAATAACTCTGAAACCGAATTTGAAATTGATCTACCGCAGAAATCTGCAAGTGCTCCACCAACACCGACTCCAAATAAAGAAGTAGAGGTGGAATTAGAAGAAATCGTTTTTTCTCCTACACCACTTGTCCCAGTAGTTACAAAAGATCAGGCTCCAAAGACAGAAACCCAACTAAACCAAGGAAAAATTGTAAAAAAAAATTCCAGTCAATACCACACCTACCCCAGCAATTCTACTTTGAAAGGAAGCACGTCCACAGCGCAAGGCCTCGGCAAAATAGGAAAAATAATCAGTTCTCATATAATTATAAACTTCATAATATTTATAAACATTAATTAGCTGAAAAAAGACTTAAGTGTCTATAATTTAATATCGTCAATCATTAATAAATTTTATACTTTATTGCTTCGGCTATTAAAATTTTTATCAGAATATATACTGTATTATCTACTATAGATTGTGTGCTCGTTTCGTTTCATTTATTAACATTGTTTTACTTTAAATATTATAATATATTTTAATTATATACCTAGTGTTTTCTACCATGGACCAATATATAAGAGATTTTGAACTTACTGATAACATAACTACTGAAATAAATGGGGATGATGATATTAGTGACGTACTTGGAACAATTTCTATGCCATGTTTTTCTATTTTTCAGACCAATATAAGGAGTATTAGAAAAAATTTTAATGAAATGTCGATATTATTAACAAAACTTCAATACAAATTTGATATTATAATATTTACTGAGACATGGGATATACCTGTCTTAAATTTTTTTCAATTGCCAGGATATAACGTTGAATACAATTATGGGGATTACAATCAAAACGATGGAGTGGTAATGTACATAAAGAGCAATTTAGTATACAACAGGATGATAATGTCCTTAGGAGAAATCAAAGTCTTAAGAGCAATTATCGAAAGCAAACAAAAAAATATTATAATAGATGCAATCTATCGATCTCCCGCATCATGCCCTCAACAATTCAATTTAAATTTACGGAAATATTTAAGTAATCATACAGAACATATTAAAAATAAAAATACTTACTTTTTTGTAGGCGATATTAACATTGATATAAAATCAAATTTAGATTATGCCAGTGATTATTTAAATTTGTTAGCTGAATTTGGATTCGCGTCGTTCATAAATTCTTATACAAGAATACACAATAACTCAAAATCCTTGCTGGATCATGTTTTTATTAAAAATACAGATTATATAAATTTAAAATCATTTGTTCTTAAATATAATATTACGGATCACTTTCCTACTGTTGTAGCTTACCTAGATCAGAACCT